TCTTTCTAATTTTTGATGAGCTAAATACAGATGCAGGCTAACAGGAACACAAGGTTGAAGAGGATTCTGGAAGAAATAAAGGAAGAAGATGGAGAGGCTGAAGTCCGTGAAAGAATGCAGATGCTCATTTCACATCTAATTGAGTCAATTTCTAACTTGCATGAGGTCTTTACAAGTCAGATATTTATTTCAGCCTGCCGTGGATTTTGGGATAGGATGGGACAGGTAAATAAAAATTCACGGGTAAATTAAGCTATCTAATAGAAATATATACAGATTATGTTTCAGTTAAATTCTTTTTGTTTCTAACACGGGTTTTTAATTCATTAACCTGCTAGATTGTTCTCAAATTTCTTGAAGGAAGGAAGGAAAATCGAGTGTGGTATAATGGATCGTATTTTGCTCTTGGGGTAAACAACTGTTTCTCTCGTAGATGCAACTTCAACCAACTGCAAATATGAAATTTTAGAGCATACCCAGTACTTTTGCTGCTGTTAGTTATTATGTGGTGCATAATTCCTTATGACAGACTTGTTCTCCTGACATCCTTTGTTAATATTTTTTCTATTTCTCTTGTAGATCCTGGACGACACCTTCGCCTCCCAGATGCAGCGGTTGCAAGGAAATTCAATGCAAGAAAAAGACTTTCAGCCGCCACGATCTGTAATTGAAGCTCGATCCATCCTCTGCAAAGACTCAGCAAATGCAACAGATGCCTCTACCTACTTCTACGTTTAGTGCTGATATGACTAACGGTAGCCAGCCAAAAAATAAACATGATGAATTATGAATATATATTAACTTTGGAGATTTTGGTCACCCACTAATATTTTCAAATAATATCATAGAAGTATATGAAATAAGAGTTTTGTAGTTTTGTGCCTCCTCTATATATTTTTATAATTATTGATTTAGTACTTAAAGTTTAAATCTCATCAATAATTATAAGATATATTATTCGTATAAAAAGAATGTTATTCATCACTTTTCAAAAAATATATAAATTCTTGTGCACAAATTTAATACCTTCATTGTAATGAATAATGGATGCAATCAAAAAGCAAAGATTCATTTTTTGTTTATAATGCACAATAAAAGCAAGTCTAAAAGAGTTGTGCTTTCTTGTTCATCTTGAAAGGTGTTTTCCAAAGCTTGAAAAGCAATTTATCTAAATTGCAAATTCAAAATTCTTCTCTCAAATTTAAAATTTTATTAGAGGAAAATTCAAAAATTGGCTTTTTAAAGTAATTTTTAAGTAAGTTTTTTAAAAAACTAGTTTGGATCTATTAGTAAACAAGTTATTTACATCATAAATTGCAAATTCATCCAAAGATACTACTTGTCACATTGCTTAAACAAGTGGCAGAACTTGCTAATAGCTACCACATGCTCAACCAAATTTAGTGTTTTTGGCAATTGTCTCTTATTTACTTTGTATCTATGATTAGTATGTATGCCATGTTATTGAAGGTCATACTAAGTGCATGTCATCAAGCGATAATGTCATGCTAAATGCATGTCATCAAATGATAATGTCATGCTAAATGCTTGTTATCCAGCAATTGGTTGTGGTGAGAGCATGTCATCTAGTAATAGTGTCATGTTGCTTACATATCATCAGTAAGGTATTGGGATAAGCTCTAGTTCATTTTGAGTGTTACTAATAATACTAACAAGTTCATGTTCTGTGACATGGTCTCGTTGCATGTTTTATGTTTTCATAACATTTAAGCTGTGAGTATGGTTTAATGTGAATAAAATATTATATAACTCATAAAATCTGAGTTATTTTGAGTATTGTTATAAATTATTATTATTTAATGTCAAAAACCTTTCAAGCCCACTAGAAGTTTGAGACAAGGTTACCCTCTATTACCCTATCTCTTCGTGCTTTGTCTAGGACATTTGTCTCAGATGATGGAAAATGAAGTCCGAAATAAGAATTGGTCTCATTTTAGAATGACAAGAAAAGTGGTATGCAAACCTAAGAGTTTTATTGGAAAGCTAACTAACTGTGTTTTGCAAGCAGACAAGTGCTAATTCTATCGGTTTCCTCCACCGTGGCTAACCATGTAATGCAAATGGTGAAATTTCCTACTTTAGTTTGCTCGGACATTCATAGAGCAAACCATAATTTTTTATGAGAAGGTGTAGATAGCCATAAGAAGTTTATCCTTAATTAGAAAATGGTTGAGATTTATTCATATTTAAAATAAAAAATAATTAATTAATTATATAAATATAATATATAAAATTATGTATAAATAGATCAAACAATATATTTAAATCAACTCAATGATCATATAAATTAACTCAATGATCGCATGTAAGGCTCAAATCAACATTCTTGTTTTTTTCAAACGCACTTCTCAACACTAGAACTAATTTTAGTTCCAAGATGTTGATTGCATAACGATAGTATTTATCAAGTAATACATACAGAGATTTTCAACCAAAACTAAGAATCAAAAATCAAAAATCAAAATAATTTGATCACCGATTTAGTTTTAAAAATATTGGTTAGAATTTCAAATTAATTTTTTGAGTTGAGATTGACACATAAATAAAAATATCAACTTTGTATTTTTTAATCTATTTAAAAATGTTAATATTGTTAATTTTTAAATGAAAATGTCAATTTTAAAATTTTTTCTATTTAAAAAATTCAAATTTTAACACTTTTTTATTTAAAAATATTAATTTTTAAATTTTTCTATTTAAAAATTAATTAAATAATAACATTGACGAGATAATTAAACTTTTTAAAAATTATTACCATTTTTAAATAAAAAATTAAAATTAATATACTTAATTAAAAAAACAAAAATTAACAGTTTTAAGAATAAAAAATTAATATTTTTATTTAAAAACTAACAATATTAATATCTTTAAATAAAAAAAACAAAATTAATATTTTTATTTACATATTTTCTCTGAAATTGATCCATAATCTATCTATATATTTAACAAAATACAATATGATGTTAATTTAAAAAATCTCATTCACTGAACTATAAAACAAAAATCATTAAATTTAGAGATCCACTTCTTTTCTAATAATTATAGTTGCGCGGCTCAACCCTTCCAAATTGTGTAATACTTTTTCCTAATTAAAATACAAGTTATCTAATAATTATAGTTGTGCGGTTTAGTACTTCCGAACTGTATAATACTTTTTCCTAACTAAAATACAAATTAAACAAACAATATAGGATACCCTGGGGGCTGGTTCATTTAGATCCGGAAAGGGAAAAGGGATCTTGACTTAGCTACTGCGATCTTCAATCCTCAAGAAAGCCATGAAAAGCAGCATTAGGCCAAAGCCACTAAGTCTGAAGTTTTGAATGATCCTCCTTGGACCACGACTCCAAAAAATGTGTATTTCGAAATATAACAATCAGGAAAGCCAAAAGAGAGATACTTTAAAGCACATTGCCCCTCTGTTTAAGTCACACAGCTGTCAGGATTAGATTGTGATCAAAGCCAGATACTGCTTGTAAAACTTCCACCCCTTCTAAACTATCAATCAGAATTGGTTCAACTTCATCATTGGAGCTTCCCAACCCAAGCCTGCCATTCTTACCACAGCCCCAAACCCAGACCTCTCCTTTTGATGTCAGAGCAATTGAATGTGCTCGCCCCCCTGACACGGAAATGGGGGTTTCCCCTGCCAACCCCTCAACCACCAGAGGGAGATTCTCCGGTCCTGCCCTTCCTAACTGTGAACTCTGGTTCCAACCCCATGTAACGATGCCTTTCCCTCCTCCATCATCTGATGATGAAACCTGGCAAATAGCCAAAGAATGGCCAAGACCTGATGCTATAGAAATGGGATGGAAGCCTATATCAACTGGTGACATTCCCAAATCTTGTCTTACTCTGCCCAGTTGGCCATACACATTGCTTCCACAGCTTAACAGAGTGCCATCACCTGCAATTTGATAATAAGAAATCAGAAGAATGCATTCCTACATTTCCAATTCTACATTTGCAAATAAACGCACTTGATTGTCACTCACCACAAAGAACCAATGAATGATCAAGCCCACAAGCAATGTCTATGATATCAACACCTTTCCCTTCTTCAACTAAACGAGGTTCCCAAACAATTGGCATGTATTTCTCCTTCTCCATTCTTTCTAAAACAAGCTTCTCGGTGACATCTTGTACTAAACTTGAGAGCTCTTGGCTGTTCCTTTGCACAGTTCCATATGAATCAAGTGGAGATGCCCCCAAAACATCGCCAACCTTTCCTATCCTACCATCAGCAAAATAACCCCACCCAAACAACTTTCCATCCTCAGTCTCAGCAAGAGCATGCCCCCAACCAAATGAAACCTGTCAAAGGAGAATGCAACACTGGAATTTCCATAGAACAGAGAAATTTGGACTACTGATGCAAAATTTTCTAACTTAAGTGTCTAAGCCCACCTTGACAATCTTTTCTCCTGAAAATGCTTCAATTTTACTGGGTGTAACAGCCTCTGTTATGTCTTTTCCCAGGCCAAGCTGCCCTCGATTGGACTTCCCCCAAACCCAGACAGACCCATCATCACCGATGGCTGCAGATATAACACCAGATGCACACGCCTTACAAACATTCACCTTTTCCAATCCTTCCACTCTCTTTGGTTCATTCCATGTATCTCTGCTCAACCAAAACTTCCATAATCAGTAGTAAACTCTTTAACATTAGAATTTGGAAGTACAGCTAAACATGACTCCTTTAGGTTCACATGATTATGTAACTAATATGACTTCATTCGATGCAAGTATCACATACAAAATTGCCTACTGTGATCATCACCCAACAATACATAAAACAAAGCATTGAACCCAATACCTTGTTTTCATTTTTTTCTTTTTTTTTGGGATCAACTGCTAAATTTTTTATCCAACATATCCCAACTCAAGTTCAAAGCAGCTCAGTGGTTCCTACTTCAACTCAAAAAACATGCATCCAAGAATCAAAATACAAGCATACTAGTTCAGCTCATTACTTCATTTTAGTTTTTTTCCTCTCTAATTAGTGAATATATAACCATTGCATTTGTTATTTTATCGCCTGCTAACTTATCTGAAAAGGTAAGTGAAACAATATAATCTCCCATAGCAAGTATGAATAGTGAATTCCAACTGGATACGATTTGAATTTATAGCCTTGAGCAACCATATTAACCATAAAACTAGATTCGACTTACCAAGTATAAAACGAGCCAAACTAATATAGAGCACACAGAATTACTTTACAACTCAAAAACCGGACAAGGGTTAAGAAAACGATCATTTAGGCCATAAAACAAATGGTTATCATGCAACTAAGCTTGGTGAACATAACTCAAGAACTTGGTTAAAAAGAAGAAAAGATGGGCATTTCTGGACAAACCTGGAGGCAAGGGGGTCACGACCAAGCTGGCCCTCATTGTTACGTCCCCACACCCAAAGTTGGCCGTGAGAATCTAGAGCAAGGGAATGATAATGGCCAGCAATGACACTGGTAATGCCAAAGGGGAGGCCAGGTACGAGGGTGGGTTCATAGGCATCGCATCCAAGGCCCATCTCTGAAGTTGGCAAGCCCAATGCCCCTTGGCTTCCGTCACCGAAGCTCATCACTGTGCTCATGCATCTCACTTTATGACTACAGTGAGCGAAGAAGGAATTCAACAAGAAATCAACAACGATTCCACTTCTAATCCTCTTATTCTTCCACAGCGATCGAATTGGCAGCATCTAACCTCAACTCTGGTTACAAGAATGAGCAATGACATCTTCCACTGATTGTATGGAATAGATTTGGGAGTTGGGAGGAATAAGAGCTTACCGATTTGTAGAGATTTTCAGCAAGGGATGAGGAACCAATGATTCTACGGGACAAGGAGGTTGGCGGATATGGCCGAAAAAGAAGCAGGGTGGAACAGGAAGAACGGGGCTAGGGTAAGCGCATTTGTAATTTCTTATTTTCAATTAAATCCTTCAACAATGCAACACTAGCCAATTAGTGCCAAAGGAATAAATTTCTCTGTATGAGTCCAAATCGTCGCAACAACCAATTAGATCTCTAAACTTATATGTCTCTTGCTTTAAGTCCTTAATAAATAATAAAAAACTCGAAAAATTTTATGGTATCACATCCTAACCTTTTTATAATTTTCCCTAACTGATATCTATGTCATAAAAAAGAGGTTAAAATGCCAAGTTTAGTTCTTTTGCAAGGATGAGCACCTTTTGTACTCCTTTTAAGATATATTTTGGTTCATCAAAAAAAAAAAAAAAAAAACTTAGATCTTGGTTCAAACCAACCCTTTATCTGTGATTAGTAAGAGTTCATCCAAATTGATAAATATGTAAACCCATTATCTATATCAATGACAAGGAGTTGTTATCGTAAGAACCCTTCGTCTATGATTAATATGAGTTCCATTTTACTAGAATATATATAAGCCCATTGTCCATATTAATGATAGGGAATTGTTGTGCAAAAAACCCTTTATCTGTGATTACAGGAGTTCCACCAAGAATATGGCCCACTATTCGCAAATGGTGGGAGGTTAAGGTTAATTCTAGTTGTTTCGATCACCAAGCACTGCATTATTATGCACGAGGTGATCACTAAAGCATGATCTATCTCTTTGATAAATTTTAAGCCACATGAAAGAGACAATGCCTTCTCAAGCTTGGTCCTTTGCCCATAATGGTGGAGATTTTAGCCTTTTGCCCACAACGATGGAAATTTAGATCTTTTGCCCTCATTGGTGGAGACCAGGGTCTTTTGCCAATGATGGTGGAAACCTTGATCTTTTCTCTACATCTTTTGCCCATAATGGTGGAGATGTTGGTCTTTGGCCCACAATGATGAAGACTTAGGTCTTTTATTCACAACTGTGGAATCCTATTGATGAAACAAGTTCAATCATTTGTCTACATTAATGATGAGAATCAAGACAATAGCACATGTACCGTGTCAAGGGATCCATTACACATTCGAGGAGGTATAAACACAAGAGCTAGAGCTAAGAAGATGTGAAAAGCTTTAAATGGCCTTATTAAGTAGATCTAGGTTGAAAACAACATGCAACAAGTAAATCAAAGCTTGGATGATTATCATGGTATGGTAAACATCATTCAGGTCCAAGAGAAGCTTAGTTAAGGTCATTCATGCTAAATTACATAGTTTGCATCAAAATTGCACAATTCTATCACAATTTGTAGCAAACTGATATTTCATGTTATTTTAGTTATTTTGAGTGTTTTCATGTTTTTTATATAATTTCTAGGCTGAAGATTTATTTATTTGAAGCTCAATTCATGGTTATTAGGTTTGGTTTAAGACATAAGTTGTTAGTTTCCTACTCTGATTAGGATTAGTTTTCCCTATTTAAAGGGCTTGTAATGCTAATTGAGGCAGCTATTGAATTTGAGTATTTTGAGTGACTTTTCTTTGTGGTTCATTTCAGAACTTTACAAAACTTATCAAGAGTATTCTTGTGGCATTCTAACTTGACTTATCATTCTCGTTTTTAATTGTTCGAGGGTTTGTCATCAACCAACTTTATACCTCTGGTTCTTGTTGCGTCATAGACAATAGGTTAAGGTTTTTACGTTTGGTTCTTGTTGCGACATAAATAATGGGTCAAGGTCTTATAATAAACCTGATTTAGCTTTCCTAGAGTTTTGAAATCCCTTGTCATGTTGTGGGTTTCATTGTTCTCTTTGGGGTTCTCATTGTCTT